TCTTCCAACTCTTTTATTCTGTAATTCTGTAAGGTCTCCTGTTTGAGCAGGGGGTTGGACTAGATGACCTCCAAGGTCCCTTCCAACTCTGTTATTCTATGATTTTGTAAGGGTCTCCCGCTCGAGCAGGGGGTCGGACTAGATGACCACCGAGGACCCTTCCAACTCTATTATGCTATAATTCTGTAAGGGTTTCCTGCTCGACCGGGGGGTTGGACTAGATGACCTCCAGGGCCCCTTCCAACTCTATAATTCTGTTTGGATCTCCTGCTTGAGCAGGGGGTTGGACTAGATGACCTCCTAGGTCCCTTCCCATTCTCTTATTCTGTCCTGAAGGCCCTCAGGCGGTGAGGGGCTGGGGGTCCAGGCCGTGCTCTCTCCTATTGGCTCCCCCGGGTGTGTGTGTGGGGGTCTCTGCCGAGGAGCGTCCCTGGCTGCTTGGGAAGTGTGATGGCTCTGGCCAGGAAGAGGCCTTCGCTGAGGGACGGAGAATCCGAGCTGGCTTTGAGGCACCCAGTGGTCATCTGGACTGTTTCGGTCCTCTCTGGGTGTGGCGACCTCACAAAGTCCTCCTTTGCTTGGAGAGGGACTCTCTCTCTCTTTGTGTGTGTCTGTGTGTGTGTGTGTGTGTGTGTGTTGGTGAATCGAAACCTTCATGTGTTCCCCTCTTGAGCAGCTGGATCGAGATTGTTCCGGAATCTATTCGACACAACAATCGCCGATTGTGAGCGTCCAGTGTCAGGACATGGATCGAGAGGTACATTTTTCTGACCGCCTGTGTCCCTTGCCCTTCAATTAGCAAAGCATCCCAGGTCGTCCTCGACATACGACGGTTTCATTGAGTGACCGTTCCAAGTTACGACGGCACTGGAAAAAAAGGGACCGCTTTTCACACTTATGACCGTTGCAGCATCCCCACCGTCTTGTGATCAGAATCCGGACGCTTGGCCACTGACTCGTAGTTATGACGGTCGCAGTGTCCCAGGGTCACGCGATCCCCTTTTGCGACCTTATCACGAGCAAAGTCAATGGGGGAAGCCCAATTCACTTAACAACCGGGTTACTAATTGAACGACTGCAGTGCTTCACTTAACAAATGTGGGAAGAGGAGTCGTAAAATGGGGCAAAAACTCACTTAATCAATGTCTCATTTAACGACAGAAATTTTGGGCTCAATTGTGTTCTTAAGTCCAGGATTACCTGTATATTGCTTTACAATACAATACAATACAATACAATACAATGCAATGCAATGCAATGCAATGCAATGCAATGCAATAAAATAAAATAAAATAAAATAATAAAATAAAATAAAATAAAATAAAATAAAATAAAATAAAATAAAATAAAATAATAAAATAAAATAATAAAATAAAATAAAATAAAATAAAATAAAATAAAATAAAATAATAAAATAAAATAAAATAAAATAAAATAAAATAAAATAAAATAATAAAATAAAATAAAATAAAATAAAATAAAATAAAATAAAATAAAATAATAAAATAAAATAAAATAAAATATTATACTATTAAATGCAATGCAATGCAATAAAATAGAATTCAATACAATACAATTGAATGCAACGCAATACAATAGAATCAAATGCGATACAATACAGTACAATGTAATTGAAGGCAATATTATGCAATGCAATACAATAAAATACTATACAATGAAATGCAATGCAATAGAATAGAATAGAATAGAATTAAATGCAATGCAATACAAACAATACAATCAAATTGATACAATACAATACACTACAATATGATACAATGCAATACAATACACTACAATATGATACAATACAATACAATATGATACAATACTACAATACTGTACAACACAATACAATACAATGTAATTGAAAGCAATATTATGCAATGCAATGCAATACAATAAAATATTATACTATGAAATGCAATGCAATAGAATACAATACAATACAATACAATGTAAGTAAGTCAGTCTGGGGCTGTTTAGATCAGTGTGTATCAAAGTTGGCCACTTTAAAATGGGTAGACTTCCACTCCCAGAATCCCCCAGTCAGCATGGTTTAAGATGGGAGGGCTTCCACTCCCAGAATTCCCCAGCTAGCCTGCTTTAAAAGGGGTGGACTTCAACTCCCAGAATTCCCCATCCGGCATGGTTTAAGATGGGAGGGCTTCCACTCCCAGAATTCCCCAGCCAGCATGGTTTAAGAGGGGAGGACTTCCAGAATCCACCCCTCTTAAAGAGACCAAGGTATAAAAAACAACAACACGGGTTTAGATATGTGATTTGTGGTTGTGTACTGTACAGCAGAGTGTCCCTAAACTGGCCACTTTAAGACACGGGGACTTCAATTCCTAGAATTCCTCAGAGAATACGCTCCAAGAGCCGCAAACGTCAGCTCCCAGAATCCCCCAGCCAGCATGAATCTTGGGAGTTGAAGTCCACCCCTCTTAAAGAGACCAAGGTTTAAAAAAAACCTTTGATTTAGAGCAGTGTTTCTCAACCTTGACAATTTTAAGGCAGGTGGACTTCAACTCCCAGAATTCCACAGCCAGCACTGCTGGCTGTGGAATTCTGGGAGTTGAAGTCCACATGCCTTACAATTGTCAAGATTGAGAAACACTGATTTAGAGACCTGATTTGTGGGTGTGTGTACTGTACAGCACAGTTTCCCTAAACTGGCCACCTGAAGACGCGGGGACTTCAACTCCCAGAATTCCCGAGAGAGCATGCCTGGCTGAGGAATTCTGGGAGCTGAAGTCCCCCCCCCCCCCCCGTCACAAAATGGCCAACTGAGGGAAATTTCAGCTCGGCAGAGATTTGAAGAGGGGGCCCGAATGGGATTCCCCTGGTTGATCTGATGGAATCTTCTCGATTTAGCTGAAGCGGATCTCCCGAAGAGGCTGGAGGAGGAGCAACCCACGTCCCCTGCTACTTTTCGGGACCCCATTCACATCGAAACTGACATAGAGGGGGGGAAAAAAATAATCCTTCCCCTCTTGAGAAATCTGACAGCTTCGCTTGCATCTGACAAATGACATGGCTTTTTTCCCCCTTTTTTTTACTTCTCCTTTTTGAAATGTGCAGAATTGCATAATACAAATCTCCTTTGGACCACAGGGGTTGAAAACTTCCGTTTTATTTTACTCTGAAGGGGAAACGCTTTGGATGATAAAAACAACAGTAGCACTTTAGACTTATAGACCGCTTCATAGTCCTTTTTACAGCCCTCTCTAAGCGGTTTACAGAGTCGGCATGTTGCCCCCCCGAAAAAAAATAAACTGGCTCCTCGTTTTACCTTGAGCTGGTGAGACTCGAACTGCCAAAAGTCAGCAGAAGCAGCCGGCAGCACTGTACTCTAACCCCCACACCACCAAGATCAGAAAGAAAGATATAAAAGGAAGAAAGGAAAGGGGAAAACAAAAAGTGAGAAAGAAAGAAAGAAAGAAAGAAAGAAAGAAAGAAAGAAAGAAAGAAAGAAAGAAAGAAAGAAAGAAAGAAAGAAAGAAAATTGAGAGAGGGAGGGAAAGAAAGGAAGAGAGAAAAGAAAGAAAAAGAAAGAAAGAAAATTGAGAGGGAGGGAAGGAAAGCAGGAGACAGAAAGAAAGGGAAAGAAAGAAAGGGAGGGAAGGAAAGGAAGAGAGGAAAGAAAGAAAAAGAGAAAGAAAAAAATTGAGAGGGAGGGAAAGAAAGGGAGAGAGAAAAGGAAGGAAGGAAAGAAGGGAAGGAAATGGAAAAAGGAGAGAAAGAAAGAAGGAAAGAAGGGAAGGAAATGGAAAAAAGGAGAGAAAGAAGGAAAAAAAAAGAAAAAAGTGAGAATGAAACGGAGACAAAGGGAGAGAGAAAGAAACAGAAAGAGAAAGGAAGGAAGGAAAGAAAGGGAAGGGAAAGGGAGAAAAAGGAAGGAAGGAAAGAAACAGAAAGAAAAAGAGAAGGAAAGAGAAAAAGAAAAAGGGAGAAGAAAGGGAAAGAAAGGGAGAAAACAGAGAAAGAAACAGAGAAAGGAAAGAAAGAAAGAAAGGGAAGGGAAAGGAAAGGGAGAAAAAGAAAGGAAGGAAGGAAAGAAAGAAAGAAGGAAAGAGAAAAAGAAAAAGAAAAAGAAAAAGAAAGAGAAGGGAAAGAAAAAGAAAGAACAGAAAGAGAGAAAGAAACAGGAAAGAACAGAAAGAGAGAAAGAAACAGGAAAGAAAGAAAGAAAGAAAGAGAAATTAGAAAGAGAAAAAAACAGGAAAGAAAGAAAGAAAGAAAAAGAAAGAAAGAAAGAAAGAAAGAAAGAAAGAAAGAAAGAGAAGGGAAAGGGAAGAAAAGAGTCAGAAAGGAAGGAAGGAAACAGAAACAAAGAAAGAAGGAAAGAGAGAGAAAAAGAAAGAGAAGGAAAGGGAAAGAGAGATAGACCAGAAAAAGAGAGAAAGAAACAGAGAGGAAAGAAAGAAAGAAAAAGAGAAAGAAAGAAAGAAAGAAAGAAAGAAAGAAAGAAAGAAAGAAAGAAAGAAAAAAAGAAAGAAAGGGAAGGGGAAGGGAAGGGAAGGGGAAGAAAAGAGTCAGAAAGGAAGGAAGGAAACAGAAACAAAGAAAGAAGGAAAGAGAAAAAGAAAGAGAGAAGGAAAGGGAAAGAAAGAAAGAAAGAAAGAAAGAAAGAAAGAAAGAAAGAAAGAAAGAAAGAAAAAGAAAACCAGACCTGTGATATGGGAACCACAGAGGTCTGCATCCCCAAAGCCGCTTCCCTTCCCCTTTGCTTCGTTCCAGACCTTCTCAGCCGCCCCTAAAAAAGCAGAAGTCTATCACCTCCTTCTCTTCCTCTTTCCCCCCCCCTTGCCTGCCTCCCCTCCCCGTGATCTGTCCCCTGCTCGACCTCTCAGCAAAGACCCCTTTCTGGAAATCCACCCTGAGCTTTTTTTTTTTTTTAGCTGAGTCAGCCAATCACAAAGCTATCCGATCCGGGAACCGCTGGCCGGGCCGGCCCATAAAAAGGAAGGGGAAAGTCGCCGATAATCATTTGCCGCAATCTGAGGTCTCCACCATGCAGACCGGACAGGGCAGGGCCCTGCTGATCCTCCTCGGCCTGGCGCTGAGCACCCCCGGTTGGACTGCCGAGGGGGAGTCCCGCGGGGACCGTGATGCTCTTTCCTCGGCTGTTGAGCGGTATAATTCGAACTCGGGACTAGATTCGGCCTTCCGGCTGTTGCAAGTCAAATCTCAGCCTGACGGGGTAAGTGTCGGAATCCTCGTTAAATTGGGCCACACACACACACGCAAAATTTTCTGCCCTGGGTTGCTGAAATTTATAGACAGTCCTTGACTTACAACCATAATGGAGCTCGGGGTGTGTCTGTGGGGGGGGAGGGTTGTTAAGTGAGTCACTTGAGCTCTGTTGTGGGGGAAGGTGATGAAGTGGGTTTTGCTTTTGTGTGTGTGTGTGTGTGTGTGTGTGTGTGTGTGTGTGTGCAGCGGCCATTAAGCGAATGCCACGGTCGTTAAACGAGTCCAATTTGCCCGGAAATCACACACACACACACACACACACACGACACAGTCCAGTGACGGCAACTGTCGTAAAGGCGAGCCCGGTTCCCAAGCAACCCCAGATGCAATCTCAGGACTGCGCGGTGCGAGGTGTGACTATCTGTCGGAACTTAGGAAACGCGTCAGAAGTAGCTCTGGGGAGGTCGGTCGTAATTTGGAACAGTCACTAAGCGAGGCGTCGCTAAGCGAGGACTGTTTCTGTTTGTTTGTTTGTTTTTTTAATCTGCTGGGGTCGTCTGTCTCTAGGCACCCTCGAATCCAGATCTTCAGAAGCTGGAATTGATCTTGAAGGAGACCACGTGCCCGAATTCTCGGGGTTTGAACCTGGACGACTGTGACTTTAAGGAAAACGGGGTGAGTGTGGTCTCTCCTTTTTCTCCAGCCCTCCAACCGGCAACCACAAAATGAACAATTCAACACAAAAACTCTCTTGCACAATTCTGAAAAAAAATTAAGCTTCCTCTTTCATTGCTACTTTTTTTTCATTGTAGCTCAAGAAGATCACGTTGGGGGGGGCGAAAAAAAAGACACCCCCCCTCTC